AGATTTAATCAGCTTGGGTTAAACAAATACGATATATCACTCTCTGTTTCCGTCTTTATAGTTTGTTTAATTGAAAAAAAAAAGATGATTACTTATGTATGTGTTTGGTTATTTAAATGTTTCCTAAAAAATTAACTTATTTTAATTTTAGTAAAAATGAGTAGAATTATTAAAAGAAGAGAGAGATAGTTTCATAAGTAGATAAATAAATAGTTTTTTGTTTGTAAAAAAATTGTCCACCATGGCAACTTGTGCATTCACCAAGTGCTTATGTGGCAAGAAGTTATTTTGAATAGCCATAATATTTAGTATAGATATAGATAGATAGATAGATAGATAGATATATATATATATATAGATTGTTTGCATGAAGCCTGGATTGGGATTAGGACCGGGTTAGATCAGGTCCTTAAGGCCTTTTTTTAAGGAAGATCTTAAACCCCTTCCAGCCAATAGGAGAAGGAGAGAGAGTGATAAGTAATGATTGGCAGGTTATTAGTTAGATAATTATTAAGGGTAAACTTGGTATTATGAAGAAAATTAATAGCTACTAAAAACAGGAAAACAAGAAAAAAAAACCCCTAAACTTTTCAACCTCCCGTCCGCCAAAAGCAATAAGCAGCAGCAGCGGTAGTATGAGGGACTCGTCTAGCCGAAGTCGGCGCCGCCATCTACCATTCCGACGCAGTCCGCTGTCTTGGTATCTTCTATCCCGCGGCCGAAGGCGACATCGTCGTCCTCATCGTCAGTCCGTCGCGGACCGACATCACTCCGTTCGCCATCTCGCCGTGAACGTAGCCGTCGGTCGGAAGTTTGAAGGAGAGAGGAACCAGCAGGGGGAACTCGCTAACAAACTCCACCCCACGTATACGCTTCCTATTTCCGGCCGCATTGTTGCTTCCAAAACCCCTAAATTGCATCCCAACCACGTCTCCACCATCGGCGATTCTGTTGACCGGATGTGTTGTGCATAGGTAGAAAATGTTAATAATTTGGGTTAAGAAAATTAATAACAGTTCAAAAAGTTATTGATATACGCTTCCAAAACCCCTAAATTGCATCCCAACCACGTCTCCACCTTCGGCGATTCTGTTGACCGGATGTGTTGTGCATAGGTAGAAAATGTTAATAATTTGGGTTAAGAAAATTAATAACAGTTCAAAAAGTTATTGATATATGTTGTTGTACACTAGCGTAATAGCACATGACAATTTTGTTGACAATTGTTTGATAAAAGGTTAATAATTCTATAACCTGTGTTTGTTAACATTTTTATGATTGCTGAGGTGCTATTATTGTTAATAATAATTGGCATGCACTAGTACGAGAGTGCAAAAAAAGGAATGCTTAAACATTATTAACGACAATGCATAAAAATATTAATGTTTATGTTATGTATTATTAATAGTTTTGTTCACTTTATGAATAGCATAAGTCTACTTTAAATATTTAGTTCCGAGTATATTTGTGCATATCATTACTGATACTTTGCAAGAAACGTTAATAATAATGATTGTATAGTGTTCATTATCCGCATAAATAGTTGATAACGTTCAGTTGCATTGTAAACAATTCTCCGAAAAATGTTAATACTTTTATTATTGATAATTTTTAAAGTTATATTATTTACGTTGTATTTCATTAATAAACATCGAATAAACTTTTAACAATACCTCGCATAAAAGTTGATAATGTTTGAGCACATTGTTGACAATTGTCCAAAAATTATTAATAATTTTTATTACTTGTCAATATTAATGATTTTGTATACCTTTTGCATAAACGTTGAAAACATCTGCCACGTTGTATAAACATTGATAACGATAAGTTAAATCGTTAACAATTGGTCTAAAAACCATTAGTATTTCAATGTACGTTTACATCCCACACAAATCCACCATCAACCCATTAACAATTAAAGTTATGAATCGGTACCTAAAACGTCAATATTGATAACAAAAATGTTACTAATTTAACAATAAAATGTTAATAGTGATAACAAAAATATTACAAACTGACATATAAAACGTTACTAACTTAACAATAAAAGATTATGAACGGGTAACAAAAACGTTAATAATCGTAATAAAACAAATTGGTAACTAAGAACACGTCCATCTTCCTCAAGGGGTCCAAAACACAGACGACCAAACTCTCTGGACTGCCCTTCAGCGATGATGATGATAAGCTTCTTTGATGACCTTGCTTGACGAAGACATCGACCGGAAAACGACATGGCATGATGGCAAGCGGCGGCGACGGAAGAATCAGAAACGGCAAGCAATAGCGGCCAAAAAACTGACGATCTTCATGGACTCCCCTTTAGCTTCAACGTCGATCTCAGACGACAACCGGACGGAGAAGGGACGACAGACGGAGAACTAGGAACGACGGCCGGAGAACTCGGGATGGAGAAGGGACTCGGGACGACGGACGGAGAACTAGGGACGACGGCCGGAGGAACTTGTGACTTGACGTTTCGCCTGCCTGCTTGCGGGAGGAATAATGAGCAGACGAAAATAAAGAGAGACGTGGGCGGGTTAGGGTTTTTGAAAGAAAAAAAAGACAACTTGTTTTAATTTAATTGTAGTCTCCTTAATACCCCTAACAGCTATTTAACTAATAACTCCCTACTAAGTACTAACTACCTAAATTTGAGTTAGCCAATCACAAGGCTTTAAGTTCCTCCTTAAAAAAGAGACTTTAAGGACCTGAACTTAGGCCGATTAGGACATGTAAATGTTCGGTTCGATCCTTTGATTGGGAACCAGGTGTTATTATGCAGGGCAGCAGGAGACCAGCACAGTGGAAAGGTAGGTGAACTATGACAAAAAGATTCTGGTTAAGCTAGTCTAGATCATAAGCTAGTAATAAGTAACCGAACTGAGATGGGACGTGGGCCCACTGAACAGAACTGAATTTTTAATTTATCCTGCCAGATATCCTATCAAAAAAAAAAAGGAGAAGAAAACGCCGTTTGAGTCCATCGGCGTCTCCATGCTGCACAAGATAATCGCCGGGTGCACTTTGGGTGATTTCATGAAACTCTGGTCCGCCGTCGCGAGGAGCAACGGGAGAATTGAAGGCGGCGGCGCGTACGCTCCCGACCGGGCTGCCACGTCCTTCCTGCCCACGAGGCACGATGATTGCTGATGTCATCGATACGAGCAGTTTTGTGAAGGAAGAAGGGGAGATCAACATCGAGAATCATCTCCCGTCCCGTCCTTTGCTCTGGCGACCAACAAAGGGAGATCCGACGCCGACCACGAACGAGGACAGCGATGAGGACGACGGCGCTAGGAGGAGGGCTGGATGACGACGGGAGACGACGAAGTCGCCGTTGGCCTTGGCGGTTACAATTCCGGACGATGGCGGTTACGTTGGATAAGTGCTCTCTCCTTTTTTATTATTACTATTATTTATTTAATTTCTTTTATAATTATCCTCGATAATCCCGTGTAACGCACTCACGATGATTTCCGATAGAAGGGTCGAGTTCGACGGATTTTTATTTTTATTTTTCTCCGCAACTGTGCGCTCCAGCAATTTGCTGCCAACGCCCTTGTGCGTAGCCGCTCGTGGTGTTTCCCCATCTCTGACACCCTTTCCGGTGAGTTTTGCCTATTTTTGCAGGAGTTGTGGGCTGGGATCTTCGGTGAGTCTTTCCGGTGGATGACGAGCCTTGCCGACAATCGGCCAGGCTAGTGGGCTGCAGTTACCTCTCCAGTGGCTTCATTCTTGTTCAAAACGCTCCGGCCTTCGGACGGTTATAATTTCATGGCGGTTAAAATTCTAATGGATAGGCAGTCACAATTTCAAACACGGAACCTATCCTGCATTCAGATAAGTCTATTAATTCTTTCTTAAATTTATATTTAATTATTATTATGTTTACGATTGTGTTTGGTATTTTTTATGGGAGTTGCAATTGTTTTGTAATTTGGTGTCTTTTAATGATAGTGAGGATTTGGTTGTCGTCGGACATGGAGTATATTTCTTCTACTAGTTGGCTTTGTCATATTTGTTTTTGTGTTGCAGAAGGCATAGTCTGTATAGCTTGTGTAGCATTTTCGGTGGAAGTCCGATTGTATTTTAATTTTGTTTGTCCTGTTAGGGGTTGTCTGCGTGTTATTTTGCAGGTACCTTGCACATCAAATCTACTGCTAGGCTATTGGAACTCGACGAATTGGTGCTTGAAGGAGTTTGCTAAAAGAAGACTTTCTTTGCGTTTTTTGGTTTTTTTATGTTACTAGGCATACTAACAGGGCTGCCCATCGCGTGGCATAAACGGCCCTTGCATTGGTAGCAACCTAGTTGGTTGACTACCGCCTTTATATTTCCACTGCATTGTAACACTCTATCTATTACAAACTATCTATGACAAAAAAAAACGCCGTTTGAGAACTTGCCGCCATGTCTGCTTTCGGACTCAACTCGACCGTTGGAGGCAACAAACGCGTCCGATGAACCCACCGACCTTCCGGTGATTATATATAGCGAAGAGCAGCATCACCCATTTTCTTTCCTTGTCATAAACGTCTTCCTCATCCCATATTCTTTTATTCCTCCACACAATTTCTCTCCTCAATCATTAGGGTTTCAGAACCCGTATTCTATTGAATCGAGATTTTCCACTCTGCAATCTCTCCGCGGCTCGAGGTGCCGGAAGACGGAACCCTTTTCTTCGAAGGATTAGGGTTTCAGAAGTCTGAATCGATCGTCACTCATCTCTGGATTTCATCGTTCGGGGGTCTCGAAGGTTAGTTTCTTCTCTCTTCGATCGTCGCTCGTCTCTGGGTTCGCATTATTTTCTGGGTTAAAATATTTGTCGCATCGTCGGGTGGAAAATGGAACGGATTTTAGAAACGACTAGTTCCGTGTGCTTTTAGGGTTTCCCTTCGTTAGGGTTTCGTCCGTGGTGTTTACTCTGTCGCCGTGTCTTTATCTGTTTCAGTCTAAGGATGATGACGATCTTTAATCAACAAGCAGCTGAGGTAACAATGCCTATGAAGAGTAGTCGCAGTCGCAGCATTGTGTGCCACTACTGGAAACAAGGAAGGTGTAACCGAAACCCCTGTAGGTTCGTGCATGGAGATCTGCAACCAGCTGGAACGAAGGTGGTGGAATCTCTGCCGTCATCTTCGAATAGTCATCGTCCCAATGTCTATCGTGCGCCTCAAACTCAAAAGAGTCAAGCTTTGGTCCCTGGTGATCTGCGGAGGAAGCTCTCACCACTTGAAGAAGACCGGGTCTCCAAAAGAACCAAAAGCTCTCAGCTACCTGCCGCCGCCACCCAGATGAGCCAACGGAAGCAGTGCAGCAGTTATGTTGATGGCGTCCTCCCATCTCAATCCCCATCTAAACCAGCTTCTGCAAACACTACTAGTTCTCCGAAGCAGCCAGATGCTGAAGTTGATGATGTAGCTGTAGCTGTCGTCCCCACTACTAGTGAACACTATGAAGAGAAGAAGGCTGCTTGTTGTCAAGATTGGATGTCTGGAAACTGTGGCAGAGGGGAGAGCTGTCAATTCCTACATTCATGGTGCCGTGGTGATGGGTTCTCAATGCTTGCAAGACTAATTGAAGAAGGGCATGATGGTGAGAAGTCTATTTCTGGGATTGGGTTCCCTGCAGGATCCGACAAACTCTATTCAGCAACCAGTGGTGGAGTGGTACGTGCTTGGGATTGCCATACTGGTTTGCTTGCAGGGACTGCAAATGTTGGTGACCACAAGATTGGATGTTTGATTAGCGATGAAGACTGGGTGTTTGTTGGTTTCCCCAATGGTGTCAAAGCATGGAACTTCAAGTTAGGGGTTTATCATGACCTCACTGGTCCCAAAGGTCAAGTTAATGCCTTGGAGTTTGGGTTGGATGCCTTGTACGCTGGATTTGAAGATGGTGCAATATCGATTTGGAAAGGCTTCACTGATCAGCAAGCCAATCCACAATTCCAGCAGCCTGCTACTTACCTGAGAGGCCATGGAAGTGCAGTTACTTGCCTGAGAGCTACCATAAATGGCGAATTGTATAGAAGATTGTATTCTGGTTCGGTGGATGGGACCATCAAGGTTTGGGATTTGTATACTGAGGAGTGCATTCAAACACTCAAGGCACACGATGGTGCTGTGACATCTGTTATCTGCTGGAATACGTTCCTGTTGTCTTGCTCAATGGATAAGAAGGTCAAGTTCTGGGGTTGCACTGAAGATGACAGTGATGACATAAGCCTTTTGTACACGCATGAAGAGGAAAGTGCTGCACTTGCTCTTGGGGGGATGAATGATTCCGCAGGAAAGCCAATCTTGTTCTGTTCGTGGAGCAACTGTAGTGTTGGGTTGTACGAGTTGCCAACACTCAAAGAGTTTGGAAGGATTTACTCACAGAAGGAAGTAAGTGCAATTCGAAATGGGCCTGAAGGCTTGTTTTTCACAGGGGATGCAAGCGGCGTGGTCAGCGTGTGGAAGTTGTTGGCAGAAGTTAGCAGTAGTGGAGCGAAAGTCCTTTAGATTTTTGTCAAGGAAGTGTAGAGAGAGCTGTAGCTGCAATTAGAGTTTTTTCATGTAAAAGTAGGATTCCAATTCTATTGTTGGGATTCAGAATAGGCTGCTGCACTGATTTTTTTTCAATGTATCAGTGTAGCCACACAGAAGCAACAATCAGTTGCTAGTGATTCTTTTGTATATCTGAGTGTATAAATATACTACAAATGATTACATCAATGATTCCAAATGGATTGGGTTTTTTGTTAGTCTTCATATAAGTTCAGATCACCACTTCAACTTTTCTGTCTTTCTTCGTTAATCTGTTTGTTCGGTTGCTTCATCAACTATGTACTTATCTGGATCTTGGTCCAAACTCCAGAGTCCAGATAAACTGCAATAGTTTTCGAGTTAATTCAAAGGTCTTCCAGGCTTCCAGCACACCATCCCGCTCTGACTAGCACAACAGCCCGCCCTCAAGGTTTTCCAACCCAAAAAGATAGAAAGACTGCTCGCACGAAGAAAAGTCTTTTAGAGCAAGGTGGTCGAGCATAAACCTTAAAACAGATGAGAAAACTATGCTCAAACTTGCTGGGTCTAGCTCTTGTAAGTCTAGACCAGTCTTTATGAAATCGTAAATTGTTGATCCCCAAAACAATGACTGCCTCAAACTCTAATTGTGCAGGTACAGACAACTTGAGCTCTGAATGCTAAAACCTCAACTCAAACGTACTTCGAGCACAATTTGTTGATGAAAATTCAGTGATTTGGTTAGTACCGACCCTAAGGTTTTTAGTGCCCAATCATCTATTAGACGAAATGGAAGCTAAAGTCAAAATGGACGTTGGTTTTAGGGGATACTCTTCTTCTGGATTTCCCCAAGGCTTCAGTACCATGTTGCAAATTACCTGAGAGTGTGTTGGATATCAAAAGGAATCTATGATGAAGGCAAAAGTGAGGATTCTCATTATCAGCTCTTTGAATACTGCATTCCTTTTCTCTAAATACAGACGGTATATTACATTAGAGAATGGTACATAGAAATAAGTGATAATCCCTTGCACTCTAATTGAATAAAATTCATTCTGAAACTAAGCTAATAAATAAACAAACTTTAAACAGACAAGAAGATGGCAAAAGGTGGCAATTTCAAAAGCTTCTCTCTTTCTTTCTTGTGCCACAAACACTGATGTGAAAAAAGAAACAAAAAATCAGGTTGTCTCCTTTATTTTGTCCACTCTTTGCTTTACTGTGGCTCTGTTCTTTTCTGATGTTTTGTCTCAGGTAGGGATAACATCTATGGAATGTGAATATGAAGAAGCTCCAGGTGAGCTAACTTCAGGCCTTGTTTTCTGCAAAGTACACCACAATAGGTCAGCCTTTTGTTTTGTTTTCATGGTTATTGCCACATGTTCCAAATGGTACCAAAAAATAAACAAGCATGGAGGAGTTGGAGAATTAGAAACTCACCTTGTGAGCAACTGTGTTCTTCCAAGCCTTCTCCAAAACTTCAAGCACAACATCAATCGTAGGACGACCTTTGCTCGATTTCGCCACGCAAAGGACTGCAATTTGAAGGATGGCTTCAAAATCCTCAGTGTTGAGATCTCCATGGAGCCTTGGATCCTCAAAGTCTAGCAGTGGCCTTTTCCCCAGGCTCACATCCTTTGCCTGGACGAGAGAGGAAATAATAGACTCATTATCATGAACAAGTTCCAAGTTACAGGGCTGATCAATTGAATATCTCACAGTACTACCTTTCTGGTGATCTGGTCTCTGGCATCAAGATCAAGCTCAATGACCTTTTGGCCTGACAACAACTGAAGAATAACGATTCCAAAGCTGTAGATATCACTGCCACATGTCAACTTGGCGTTGCTCATGTATTCAGGATCCATGTAGCCTATAGTTCCTCTGACTTCAGTGAACACTTTGCTCTCTTCCATGCCTATCATCTTTGCTAATCCGAAATCTGACAGCTTGGGCTCCAACTCCTCAGTCAAAAGGATGTTTGTAAGCTGGCAATAACATTACAAATAGAATGACAAACATTGAGATATCTGTGGATCAAAGTTTAGTGGGAAAAAAAACAGACCCACAAGCCCTTGCCTCTACCTTAATGTCTCTATGAACAATGCAACCATCAATGTAGTGGTGGAGGTATCTAAGACCAAGGGCGCACCCTCTCAGGATCTTAACTCTTCTTTCCCAGGTTAGAACTGATTCTTTTCCTGAAGAGACAAACATGGAAAAATAAATGAACATAGAAAGAATTGACATTAGAAATGACAAATGGATTGGATTGGCAGCTTCAAGGTTTGGTTGATATGGGTTTGTAGATTTGTGGGTTGGATTTGAATGAAATCATGTTTTGGTTGGCACTTTCTTGAGAACTTTAAGTGTTTTGGAGAAACATTTTCTCATTTGTCAACGTCTAGGAGTAAATGATTATTAGTTCATACATTAAAACGTAAACTGGCAAATGTGGATAATGTGCAAGACATCATAATATAATTTTTCATCTGAAGGGGGCAAAAGTAGGATCCATATATCCCACCACAAGCTGCGCACAGGGTGAATAACATCCGCACAAAATAGGTCAGTGCAAATCAGGTCAAAATTATCATCCATATATGACATGTATCAAAATGTTAACCAGAAAATGGAAAGACCTCAAAAGAGAGAATGTATACTTAGCAGATGCTGAGCTAAGTTGCCAGCTGAGCAGAACTCATAGACGAGGTACCGATCAGGGCCATTAATGCAGCAACCAAACAAACAAACGAGATTGGGATGTCTAATCCTGGAAAGCCCTTCAACTTCACGATGGAAGGAATCTGAAGTATGTCCCTGATGGATATGCTTGATTGCTACAACTTGTCCACTAGGCAAAACGCCTTTGTAAACCTGTCCAGCACTTCCTCTCCCGAGACTCGTCTTCTCACTGGTACTGGTATTGTAGTTCATGGCATTCTGAATCTCGTACTTGGAGAATCTGTAGAGACCAGACCACGCCGTGACTTCTTGGGATTCCAAAAGTGGTTTCCCAGCTTTCCTTCTACCTTTGTCTTTGCTCCTCGTCACGAATTTGACGAGGATGAGAACTAGAATTAGTATCACGACGGCTATTAGGACGGAACCTGCTGCTTTCGCCACGGAATCTGAGAGAGAGCTACACTTGTTTATGTTAGTTTCTTGTTGGGGGCATAGTTGTAGAAGTTTGTTTTTGGGGGATGGAAGTGGGTTACTTACTTTTGATTCTCACGTAGCCTCATTTGAGCCTGCAACATCAACAATTCAACATTAAACTCATTAAGATTCTTTAAAACTCAGAAATAGAATGTCCATTTCAACTTGATCGGTTCGATCGACTATATTAACTTGTACTATAAAGGTATAATTCGCTCCTGATTAGAATGAACCAAGCTGTGGATCTTATACTTTCATCTTGACTTGTTCTCTGCTGAATGCTGATTGTGTTAAATCTTTCTAATACTGGTTCGTTCTTGCTATATTGACTCCTTAAAAGAATGAAAGTATGACTTTGTGGGTTCATTAGTCATGTATTCTATCCATCTATCCTTGGAAAAGTTGCATTTTTCATATTCACATATCATAATGGGTCTACCTGCCCCGATCTATGTCTCATACGAATACTTCCCTAACTTGGACCTTCATTCATGGCACAGGAATGAACATCAAAGTATCGGGCTCACCAAACCATTCTCATTCCTAACTTCAGAAAAGGTAACCACCAAAAATGGATACAGAATTACTCATAAAAATGGATCAGAATCGAACTTTACCACCAAAATCCTGCATGACGGGCAAACACCTGTAAAGATCGTCGACGGAAGATCCCGCCTCCAACTTCTGTGCTGCAATCGCCACCACGACAGCAACTGTGCACATCATTGCTTGAGTGCTGTCATCACTGTAACGTGAGCGTTCGACATCAAATGTGTGCTCATAGACACAATCGCTTGAGCACAAGTGCTACAAGCATTATCAAACGAAGCATTAAGATTTGAACACGAATTGACAGTAGTTCTGAACCCAAGAGCTGCTCCAATGTGCCAAAGATAGGCGGAACAAGGGCCGTTCCCACTGTACAGCAAATCGAACCCACAAGAGAGTGGGGAAACAGAGTTCTGCTCGTGGAAAGGGCCAGTGCATTCTTTCCATTGGTCTTGTGGAAGAAAGAGTGAGCCATGTGTTTGGCTAGCTCTCAGGCCGAGGTTTTGGGTTATGACTTGAAGGACGTTTCTACAGCAGAGTGTTGTGCTGATGGTGTTCAAATCCTTCACTCTACCTTCTTGTTACCGACGCATTCGCCGTGGGTTGGTATGGGAACGCCTTGAAGTCCAGTGCACAGTCTCCTGCAACAACATTTAGTGGTTTCAAGGTATGAGATTTTTAAAGCTGAGAAAGGGAAAGGGCTGTCGGAGCAAACCTGATGCATGGCTGAAGAAGGTTGCAATGCATAGGAAGCCAAGTTTCAGTAAAAGGAGGAGGCAAGGTGGCATATACCCACCATTGTTAGGCCCAAGAACTTAAGAAGCTAAAAACAGTGTTTAGTTGAGCAGGGGAAGTATGTATCTTCAATCTTTAGGTTCAGAAGGAAAGCAGCTGAAACTTTTCAAAGGTTAGAGGCGAAGTGGATACTTATAGAGCGGTGGAAAATCTCATGTAGGGAGGTTTTCTTTGCAACAACCGCTCGTGGGATCTTCACTTTCTCTCGGGCATTTCATCGAACAGCTAGCCAGCAGTTGCATGAATCCAACGTTGAAGTTAACGCGCAGGGGGCATAGGTCCTGCTTCCTTCTGATGGTGACAACCAAACCATGAAGGTTCGAGATTAGAAGTTTGGCTTTTCTTATGAGGAATGGGATTGGAGGTTGGCTCTTGGGTTCCATCAAAAGTTGATTTTTCTGATTCCCAAAATCCGGAGGTGCTTCAAACACATCGCCTCATCTCTTTGGGACGAAAACTTTCAGGAGCTAGCCTGGAATTTCATTTTCTTAGACTTTTAAGTCTTTTATACCGCATAATATACTTGGCAGAATTACAAATTATTATAGTATTCCTCTTTATTTTTTTATTATTGTTGATGATTAAAGTGCTCGTTGAGAATTTCATATTTCGATCTCGTACAAGAACGGTAATATTTTAATTAATTTCCTAATTTTAATTGCAATCCATTGTAATTGTCTTTATTAGCTGCGTTAATAGCCTTTAAATCAGTCTTTTAGAATTACTTCCCTTCCAGGACCAGCCTTCTTTCTTTAACCTCCCTCTATTTAATTTGTTTTAAACCCGTAGGAGAGAATTGCTACTAATCTTAAGGTGTATTAATTATTTATTTAATTTATTTGAGCAAGCTCAGTTTTGTTAGTCATTTTCTTCTTATCCATTTTTATTGGATTTTATCCAATATTTTTACTTTTCAGTATTAACTCCCTTTCTTCGTGTTGAAACCACATTTTTTATGTGGAACTTTCGGTGAAGTCCGACTATATCTCTTGACAGATTTTAATCTCTGCTGTTAGAGACTTTTAGCACCTTGTGGTGCCTTTGTAGCTGGTTTCTGTACAGGAAAATTTAGTATTGTGAAGTTATGATCGAGCATCTCCTCAACCTATGATGGAAAGCAAGTCTCGTTAAATGATTTATTCAATTGTTACAAAGAATCTTCAAGGATGTGCAACTGACTCGGTCGGCTTCTCAGGTGATGGAACTATTCCATTTGACTTTCATAATTCTATTATGGTATTATCGATGATCATATCAAATTGTTTGTCTTTAGTGAGGCTATGTGATTGTATCTTACCCTTAATGTATTGATTGTTACATATTGCGGGGTTTCTCAACTGATCAACATGGATCCTACATCGAGGAAGCATTCTCTTCCCAGTGCATGAGCCACTTTCAGGGAAGTTTCTTTTCTCTCTCTTTCTGCCCCTCGTGTCAGTTTCGTGTCTTTTCGCTCCTTGGAGCTTTCTCAGAGCTGCCCACCTAGTGGCATAACAGGCTCTTTCATCGGGAATCCGGTTGCATACGGATTACCGTTCTTTATTATTATATGTTTTGTATTTTGTTGTCCGGCCATGCCTTGGGGCTTATCTTGGATAAAAAAAAAAAAAAAAAAAAAAACCTTGAGCTCACTTGAAGCAGTAAAACAAGATTGCTGGTTTTACTTTTACATTTCTACCCTATCAATTCGATCGTTCCCCCTTTGCCCTCCAGAGATGAGATTAAGGAAGCTTTTGGTCGCCTGACCTACTGCATGAGAGGTTTTCTTTGCTGCCCCGACCACAACTGGTTGCAACGAGATGACAGGAAGGTTTGCTCGCTCTTCAATCATTGCTGCATAACACATAAAGAACAACCATAGGGAAAAAATGGTAATCAATTGAAATTGAACAGACAATATTGGTTTTCATAAAAAAAAAGTTGGCAGAGAAGGGTGATTTATGGAGCTCACAGATTGTATGCTGGTGAGCTAGTGTACCAATTTGTCGAATTCCAGCTTCTGCTGCTTGAACAGCTTGAGCTGATTTGTTCACCCCATCCGATATCTCATGGCTGTGGAAAATCCAAGAAACACAAGTAAATGTTTACTGTTTTACTAGAAATCACCATGAATTTACTCTCCGCTTATGAAGCAGGCGGGCTGATATCACATTGTAGATATAGGCAGTCCTTTCAGCAAATAGGCAAAACACATCTACCTTTTCTTCCCAAAACAGGCTTAATTGACCAATTGTGAGTAGCAGACGCGCATATAAGGGCATTCAAGCAAATTTGGAACCCTTAGGTAAAGTTAGCTAATCAGATTGATAAGGATGGTGCGATATTCCACACCTGAGGTCACTCAATTCGAGTGTTAGATCGCTGATTTCCATGCCCGACAAGCGAATCGCAGCCATTGTACTCGGTAGTTCTTCACGAGCTGCATCCGCAAGCTTTGAAAGAGACAATGCAGCTCTCCTCGTTGCCTAGAGAAGAATCAGACCATTGTGAAAGCAATCAGCTACTTGATTGCTGTGACAAGAAAGTTCGCAGGCTAAAACCAAAAATCCTCAAGAGATGTGTTATATACTTTAATATCAGCATTCGGATTTGATAAAATGATAAAAACTTACATGAAGCGTTGGGACAGCAGCTACAACGAGACTTGTAAATGCTACACATGTCTGCAATTGGAACCAAATCCACCATTTCCACATTAAACCCCACAAAACAATCGAAAAAACGAATACTGGGCAAGACCCACAAGAAAGAAACGACCGTTGGTTGGTGGGAGTGAAAGGGTAAAGTCCGGAAATTTTACCGTGCAAGCGGCGAACGTGAAGAGGAAGAAGGCTTGATCGGCCAAGCTGAGCTTCATCCATGGGTGAATAAACGAAGGAACTAGAGCATTACCCACTTGCACGTTCAAATTCGTACCGGGTCCATCCTCGCTATCCAGAACGGCGTTGGAACAGTTGTGGTGGTCGAATTGAACTGCGTCGATTGTATCGGATCGCTTGGTGGGATCCGAAGCGTGGAGAGCGATGAAGCGAGGCCGATTGAAGGATTGGCGGCAGGGGTGGGTTAAGGAAAGGGAAGGAAGAATTGAGAGTCTGGGAAATGGGATTGGATTAGCATGCTTTAGAGGACTGATCAGTGAAGAAGTGGGATTGGGTGTCGAGAGATTAATGGGTCTCATAGTTGGGGAATTTGGTGAAGCTTCCACCTCTTTGGCCTTCGACCTGGAAACAGTTTCACGGTCATCTCCTCGCGGTATCGTTTAATCATTTTGTACCTTTTCTTGCAAGTTGCTATTCGATCCCGGAATATTAGATGATTCACGATTTAACGCCTGTAACTTCCTGAAATTTGCAATCGGGACCCTATGTCAGTGTGTTGGGAACTTGGGAGGACTTCGGAATGACCTGACCTCATATTATTTGCCATATATGACATTTTTAGGGCGTTAAATAGAAATTTAGTTTCTTCTCGTGACGAGAATTACATTTTGGCATTTGAACATATTGATATTCATAGATCACAAGTATATTATGCCAAAAGACTATCTACTAACAAGTCGAAAATTATGGTAACATGGATCACTTCCACCATTGGACCAACAAGCATATTATTCATGCAGCCAAAAACAGCTTGCAAGGTTATACTATCAATACTTGCATTGCTTACTACATCACGATATAGCTTACAACTATCAATACTTGCATTGCTTATACAAAACAACATGACAAGAACTAAACTTATCCTTCTTCGGGTATTGCTTAAAAGTCACATCCTTCGAATCCATACATCGACATTACTGCCATTTCGGATTAATCAACAGTATTCACAGGAAGCTCTCGCAGGAGAGGAAATGCATCCATATCACTCGTAAGTTGGCTTTAAGCATGTCGCACACACGTTCAGCTTCCACTCCCTGTTTCCCAAAACATTACGAAACAAAATTATCAAGAGACCAAGAACATGGTCGTGCACAATGCAACTCCACTAAACATCACATCACACAACAGAAACTTGCCTGTGATAACTCTGCAGCTACCCCTTTCAACTTCACATACACTTCCCTTGATGCTTCCCCGGTGCCTTTCATGAAATCGAATCGATCGGCATCCCTAACTTTAAGCCTGAGGGATGTGTTACTAAAAGCTTTATGGACTGTGTGCCACACCCCAACAACGCTGTACCTATCTCCAGAAGACATTCTTTTCCCCAGTGGCCATTTCAGCCCACCTTTCACATCTGCCTCTACGACTGCACAGTCGATAAGTTCTTGGATGCTGCTCATCTCATCATCCTTTATAAAAAACAAAGTCAGTACAAATGAGTTTGAATCAACTAAATTGTCGAGAAGTGGGGTTTGATATGGTCCTTCAAGAAGCTTACTGTAAGAGATGTCAAGATCCTCTTGGAGCATAGCATTAGCCGAAGGTCTATGTTCTTATCAAGACACGATATGTCTGTGACCATCTGCCGCACTTGGTTCAATTCAACCTAAAGCCAAGGTGAAACAAGTAGCTTAGGGGTTCTAGATGAACTACAAGGATAAACATGAACTTTGAACTTGAACAGTGAGTCATTAAAGGTTGTCAGGAAAAAAAAAATCTTCTTTTTTTGCAGCATATGGAAACATGCCTTGTGCAGTTGCAGCTTTTTATCTTCTTCCCTCACAGTACATTTGCAGGAGAGAGTCGCATCAGGTTTTCTGTTATCAGACAACTGCACATGGGGAAAAATCACCAATATCAGCAATTAATGCAGAATCAACCCAGGTTGGATGGGTTATTTCAAGAGTTCTAGTACAAAACAGGAAAGTAGCGTTGGGAAGAAACTACCTTGACATGGTATATATCCCTCTGCTCCTCAAACTCCAACCCTATCTCAGGGTTGACAGCTTGATCAAGAACACTATCCACATAAGAAGAGGGAAGATTCGTGTAGAATGTGCGTTTTGATCTCATCAATGCATCTTCCAGCTGCTGATCACTTCCTATACTTACAAGCCTTTTTCTTTGACAAATACTTACAAGCCTCATTGATGGGCTTCTGCATTGTATAGAGATGATATCATCATGGTTGTTACACAAACCCAGGCTAAAATATACTTGTAAACTTTCCTATCATAATTTGGCTAGCACTAGCCAAGCAAGGAACACAACTATCAATGACATGTTTCAAAATACAGCCTAATCGACGCAACAAAGCACTTGAATTCATTCCAGACAAACCATTAAGAACATTCCTACAATCTAGTATTTGATTCACACACATACACAGAAAGGCAGTAGTAACACATGGAGATGATTAGCGAAATGAAGTGGCACCAAACAGAAGGCAATAAGTTCTATAGTATATCCATAGCTTACTCGCGGAAAACAATCTTGCCAAATCTAGCCACTAGAGTAGGCTTTATCTTCTCCAATCTCTGAGCCTCCATTTCAGACCTCAATATCCCGAAAGAAGAAAGCAAACCCTCCAACACATCTGCAGCTATGACGTCCCATGGAGTTCTCAAGCATCTTGGTACTACTCCATCACTCTCTGCATCATATGCGAAATTAAAAACCACAAAGTGTATCGTTGTAGTGGTCGTAGAATCTGAATAAGGGGATTTCATATAACACTAACCTGCAGATGAATGCTTATCATTAACTAAGATTAGAGGTGTTTCTCCTTCTCTGCGCTGAATGGACTCCAAGAAAACTGGCTTTAGCCAAATGTTAGGAGGGAATTGATGCTCATCATCCAAACCAACAGCAAACCATCTAGATATGGAATTGTTGGCGTAAATAATCTTTCCAGTCTTTCTAGCAATGCTAGAATTCGGGCTTAAATCGAGAATTCTCCTGAACTGGAGAGCAAACGCTTCTGGAGTTGGGGGAGTTCTCCTCCCACTTTCCACCGAGTGCCGCTTGTTTGGAGGAATGTAACGAGCCATCGACGAACCAAACAGCAAATCTCACCTATCAGGATTGCAAGGAAATTAACAAAACATGCAATCAACTCAATTGAACATTTCGGTGCCAAGATACGAACTTTCTTGCGAAACCCCAGAAAGGGGGTAGCCCAGTAAAACCAGATGGAAACTAAAACCCCGGAGGCGATTAAACCGTACCAAATCCAAGTTCCGATCAAAGGAATAAAGTAGAGTAGCGGAAATGCATAAAAATTACCTGTGAGTAAAAGCGATTTCCTGCTGTGGATTACTACAGAAGGGTTTTCAATCGTTCTCCGTTCAAGTGGCACCTCAGGAGCGGATCCGCGGATATGTATATATACAGATGACGACATAGGATCCTGAGACTAAAGGTGGACTAGTATCTTTGATTAAGGTGCTTCATGCAGAAGGTTGTGAAAAAAGAGAACGACTTGGCGAAGAAGGTGATGTTGGAAATGGAAAGCGTTGGAAAGAGCGGAGGAAAGCAGAGGACTCGAGTCTCGAAGAGGAAGAATGGTTGTTAACCCGGTTTGGCCCCGCCGGTCGAACCAGGCAGTTGAACCTGGCCTCTACCCCGGGCGGCTGGAGTTAGGACAACACCTAATTTTCTAGCATGGTCTAATACTAATCTTAAAGAAACTTTATTTTTGCTAACTTCTTATGTTGGAGGCGTTTACACAATTTAATGCTAATTGCAACAATTTAGGCAAATCTCGCGTCGACAAAACACGGGGGAGATCCATGGTTTATAAGTAAGAAATCGATTTAACTGACAAGACGCGTTTTGGAGTGAAACGGAGGAGTTCTTGTGAGAACTCCGAAATTAAACATGCTTAGTGTGGAGTACAACAAGGATGGGTGACCTTATGGGAAGTCACCTTGAATTGCACCCCAAGTCAAAAACCGTGAGGGTCGAAGGCCAAAGCGGACAATATCTTGCTCAGGAAAAGGTTCGGGATGTTACAAGTGGTATCAGAACCTCTCCGCGTCCCTCTTGAACGAAGGGGGGGGGGGGGGGGACTCTCTATGACACAACTCCTAACAATGGCCAAGTGTAACCAATGAAAGGGACTGCAGTATAGTGGCTCAAGTAATAAATATCGAATCCACAGGTCTCTAGAGTTACTATTACTCAGCTTCACTTCATTATCTAGCAAACCAGATTAAGATGGAAGAACTAAAACTACTCTAACAAACTACAGTTAAATTTAATCTAATTACAGGTTGGGAACTCACTTAGGTATGATTTCCCCTAGCCACTAGCCAGATTAATGATTGATGATTTCTAACTTGTTTCACTTTCATTCACAATGCGCAGAATCCTTGACTAAACCTTGAATCTCGACTAAAGGATTAAGGCCCTCTTGAGTCAATTGCCTAGAGGGACGTATCCTTCTCAAGAACAACCGATCAAGGCGTTCTGAACTAGATTCCCTATAACGAATGAGGTTCCCAATCGATACAAAGCATTGAATCAACCCTCGACTAAAGCAATTGATCCAATACTATCAATCTATGGTGCTCTATTGACCTAATCATGTATTCGCTCTCATAGGATCAAAGCAGAATCAATAATCTCGACTAAAGAAGAATTGAATCATGAAAACGTGCATAGATTGAATATGAACTCAAGATTATCAAGTAGGAGTACTCATACAATCATCCAATCAAACAAACATAGCTAGGGTTCCTCAAAACCTAAGTGAAGGAAAGTTACTCCATAGAGAAGAGAGAGACTGCAGTAAGAATCTTCAGATGATCAGTCTTCAAGTCCGGGCTTGTTCCTCAAGCTTCTAAGGCGAAGAAATCCTCCAATTCCACTCCAAGAATGCCCTCAAATTGCGTTGGGTGTTTGGGATCCAAAACCCAGCTCTCCCCTTGCAAAAACGCACAAAACAAGCTTTTAACAACCTGCGTTCGCGATCCCCGGTCATAATCTCCGGTCGGATATTTCGGGTGCCCGGCCAGGGATTTCGAAACGCAGCGCAGCGGTACAGGGGATAATACTCGATCGAGGTCAGGAATACCCGATCGGGTATTTTTGCTCTCTGGCCGGGACCCCTTCTGTTTCTAGACGTCCAAAATCGATTTTCCCCGGCCTCTCTTAGCGATTTACCCGGCCGGGTATTATTACTTATGGCTGGGTATTTTGCTCCTCCGGCCCCCTTCAACTCAAACGTCCTCCTTTTGACCCGTAACTCGTTTCCTCGCCTTAACGTCAACGCCAAGCCCTGAAATATGACATAAAAACACAACCTAGCGTGAAATCGGCTTAAAACACGAGAATCTCTTCTCCAACGGCTCAAGAATAGGGGTATAAACATGTGTAATTATTGGTCTATCAAATTCCCCCACACTTAACCGTTTGCTTGTCCCCAAGCAAACCTAACTCAAACCAATGCAACTCTCCATACCTCTATAGCAACAAACAACCCCGATCGTCGGTAGAGGATTTCCTAGATCATATAGCAGATTACGAGGTCAACTAGTCTTCTAAGACGTTCCCTATCTCTCTTAATGCGAGTACTAGACTCAAGCCAGGATCATGAGAAGAAGTGGAAGTAAGACAACCAGCTCATAGAGAAAGGGACTCACACCATTCACAACCAAGGACTCATTATACCCGGGTGCTCTTTCACTTCATTTCACCGTTGGAACGCCTTTTTTACTTTCATTTTATATTTCTTTTTTTTTTCATTCACTTGGAGGGGGTTCCAACTGCAGTCTTTTACATGGTCGACTCTTATTAGTCGAGAAAGAGCAATTTCTGCACATCTGGCGCTCGCCAGAGTACTTCTTTTAACTCCTTTTCCTCAACTCGTGTGGAGGGTCAATGAAATTAAGGGGGGTCGGAAGCTCTATCCATGCCTTTAAAAACACATCCTCGAGTAGACAAACCGTTCAACGGGTGGAAATTTTACTTGTACTAGAGACAGCTTAGCTTCACCTTGTAGGAGTACCCCACTAAGGATCACTAAAATCTCTTCCAAAACTTGATTTTGTGCAATGAACGGTGCCACACACGTTGGGCTTACCCCATGTTTAAAATTTCAATGATTTCGACATGGAGGACCAACTGCTTTTCATTGGGCACATGAGCACCTTGTTCGATACACTAGTCCATAACACAATCCAATCAGGGTCACCATTGCCACATGAATTCAACGGTCTTAGCTCCACTAATTCACAAAATCAAATGGCACAACAGAGAGCTAGATAGGAAAAATCTTATACTTCAACATCCTCCATAGTGCTACACTACCTCCCTAGGTTGCATATTACTATAGAGACTGTCAATTCAAAGCATACTGAGCAGGCAATTTGCAAGGAACACACGTACTTGGAGCCCTCAAATCGAAATTTGGACAGTGGAATAGGCTCTGAGCACACAAACATCCAAACATTCACACGCATACATAATCGAACATCCCCCCACACTTAAGCACGACATTGTCCTCAATGGAGGAAAGATAAGGAGGGTAGAACGAAGTTACCAGATCAAGGGTGAATGATGGTTGACGGGGCAGGCGGTGCATTCCAGGAGGAGAGAGTAATCGGAACACAAACACCACACAAAATCTCACAAAGGTTGAGTTATTGACTCTAAAATCAAAGAACAAAACTGACTCAACCGAGGTGAAATAGAGAAAGAAATGCAAATCGATGGCTCCTAAGTTTCGGTCCAGCCCAAAACCTCCTTGAAGTTGAGGTTCTCGTCAATGAGGTGGAGTCTCAAGTCACGAGCATGTGGTATGAAAGATGAGGAAAGCTCGTGCACTTGATGCAGATGAAGTCTCCACCATCGAGACCTCTTCTTCTCTTCTCTCGTCTCATTGCCCCAAACCAAATATGACAACATCGATTGACCACCATCACGTCCAACAAGAGGGACCGATATCGACGTGGCCTTGGTCTGGCAAAGAGACACTGCAAATGGGTCCTTGCTAAGAAGTTCCTCGAAGTTTGGTGGAGATATCACATGTAACTCATGGCCGGTGCAAGCCTCTTCCACCTCAACTTCGACCTCGGCCTGGATGCCAATTGATTCTTCAACCCCCCTTCCTTCTTCATGTGGTATCACCCATGGGAAATGATCAAGAAATCCATCTGCTTCACTTTCGTCATCCTCCACAACCTTTTCCCGCACCCTTTCTTGCTCTTCTTCTCCCAGCACGGATTGGAGGCCAAGTCGCCAAGCAATTTCTTTGATGAGATCATATTGCATCTCCTCACTCATGCCCGCCTCTTCAAAGCTCATTGTGGGATGTGGGAAGGTGTGGTCGGCTACGACAAGACATTTCTGATCATGATCATCACGAGAGCTCTCTGTGACAACTTCTGTGTGCTCCACAATGTCCTTGTAGCCTTCTTCTTCTTCTTCCTCTTCTAGTATGGTAGCAGAAGGATGATCTTGAGGAGGTTGTGCATAAGATTGCTCAAGATCCTCGAGGCTCTTCTTAATGCTCAGGAGGATCTCCTCTGTTTCACGATAGGCCTGGGTACAAAGATCCATCTTGGAGCATGATCTCTCAGGGTCTCGAACAAACTGCTCCATGAGAAGCCTCAATTCATAGTTTGGATCTGGTTGTGGAGTGTAGCATGGCTCTGCAGAATGGCCCGTGAAGGCCGCCATGGCTAACTCCAGCTCTGATGGCCCTTCTGGTTGTGGGAGAAATTCTTATTGATAAGGAGGTTGTTCTTGATATGCCCAGGGGTCTGATTGTTCTCCGTAGTAAGGGGGTTGGTACTGGAACCCGAATCCATAGTCTTCTCCTCCTTGATTGCTCCAGGGAGTCCCGGGGGTAATACCACTCGGACGGTGATGGATACCCCCAATGGTTGGAGAAGCCATGAGGATCCATGATTCAGATCTGCACCAACAAAAACAAAAACACCCAAGTGAAAAGCAAGGGTGGAAAAGAAAAGAAAAACGCTAAAGTAATAAACTTCTGCCTTTCCTAATAATCTAGAAAGTCCTCGGCAACGGCGCCAAAAACTTGACTTTCTATGACACAACTCCTAACAATGGCCAAGTGTAACCAATCAAAGGGACTGCAGTATAGTGGATCAAGTAATAAATATCGAATCCACAGTTCTCTAGAGTTACTATTACTCAGATTCAGTTCATTATCTAGCAAACCAGATTAAGATGGAAGAACTAAAACTACTCTAACAAACTACAGTTAAAATTAATCTAATTACAGGTTGGGAACTCACTTAGGTATGATTCCCCCTAGACACTAGCCAGATTAATGATTGATGATCTCTAACTTGTTTCACTTTCATTCACAATGCGGAGAATCCTTGAATAAACCTTGAAACTCGACTAAAGGATCAAGGCCCTCTTGAGTCAATTGCCTAGAGGGACGTATCCTTCTCAAGAACAACCGATCAAGGCGTTCTGAACTAGATTCCCTCTAACGAATGAGGTTCTCAATCGATACAAAGCATTGAATCAACCCTCGACTAAAGCAATCGATCGAATACTATCAATCTATGGGGCTCTATTGACCTAATCAGGTATTCGCTCTCATAGGATCAAAGGAGAATCAATAATATCAACTAAA